GACTCTTCCACCTCTGCTGTGTGATGAGGGAAGTGTTAAGTGTGATGTTTTGGGGTGTTGGAACAGGAGGACACAAAACATCCTTGGCAGAACAAACGAGGGTTAAAGCTTTGTCATCAAAAGGAGGACACTGAGATGTGGCTCCTTTTCTGTGTGTGAGGCGAAAATATGGGATAGAACAAGCAGAAGGGAGCAGAGATGGGGTGTGAGTATCCCTGGAGTGAAGTGTGGGAGCGTGTGCAGGCACATCTCAGGTGAAGCAGTGCTGTGGGTGATGTCCTGTTTGTGTGAGAGGCTCAGCCTGTGAAATCTAGAAAATATGGCTCTCCCAGTCTGTGGAACTGGAACATGGCTTAAAGCAGGGGCAGGATGTGAAGGTGACTGCTCAGGGTGCCAGTCGTGGTGAAGTCAAATGACTGAGGAATAGGAGTAAAATGTTCACTGGGAGAAGGTACAGTGAAGGAAAAGCAGCTCTTGGTACTTGAATCCAGTGTCCCACATTGCACTTCCACCAGGAGAATGGGAAGTAAACTTCTAAAAGGCAGAGAGATTCAACCAGCTGGGGATGCTCCATGGTGTAACCGAGTTGGATCAGTGCTGTGTGTGTCTTTATTTCCATGTCTGCATTGCTCCTTCAGAGCTCACAGTTTTTTGTGCTAAAAGTGTTAAATTGTTGTTTGGAGTTTTTGCTCTATTTTTTAACAGCCACTTTTAATATTCCATTTGCTTTTCTGTACAGACTGGCTGAGAAAATCCTGAGAAGCTGCTTTTCTCTTTCTGAGTTGAGAGTAGTGATTTGGGAGGCCCATTAAAAGTCCCATTTTTGTGGGTGGGGTAGAGGAGGGAAGGGGGTGATTCATAGGTGCCTTCAAAAGTTCCTCTGTGCTGTGAGATACAATGGCAGATTTCCTTTGGGGTTGCTGTGGAAGCTGTTTGACTCACAGTATGAACTTTACAAATTGTTTCGTCCTCAGAGCTTTGCTTTCTCAGGCAGGAAGGTGTCAAGAGTATTTCTTGAGCTAATTTTTACCTTCCTGATTTTGGTCTGTGGAAATACCTTCCAGGGAAAAGTCTTCCAGGGTTTGTGTGGGCTGGCCTGTTCCCTTCTCCCAGAGCAGCTGGGTATTAACTTCACTATGTGCATATAAACTGCTGTTTTGAGCTTAAAAGCTCTTAGTATTTAGATTTTTTTTAATGGTTCAGGAGCATTTATTGTCTTGTAAATGCTCCCAAAACACTTCACTGTGTTTTCTGTAACTCCATTGGGCCAGAACTGAGTTACCACGCCAGTGTTTGCTTGTGCAGTTGGCAGTCACTGAGCATGGCATCAAAATGTTGGCTTTTGATGAGTTTTAACATGACTGAATACCTGAAACCTTGAAAAAACCCCAAACCCTAAATTGCAAGGAGGAATGTTTAGAAAACGTGGATTGCATTACTCATAAATAATGTAATGCCACCCAGCGAGGCCACAGCAACAGAAATGAGGCAATTCTGGATTTCTGGCAGGAGGAGCTCGATTATTGAAACCAACGTTTGAGTCTGATCTTCCCTATGTGTTTTTTTTAATCTAGAATTAAGTTATTTTTTGGTAGTGTTAGGATTTTCTTAGAGCTCCACAGGCTGGGCCTCTGAGTCCAGGCAGAGGCCAGGGGCCCTCTGCAAGGGAATCTTTTATTTTTCCCCCTCCATGGGGAGCTCTCCCGGGTGCAGCTCCAGCCTGAGGCTGGGATCTGTTCCACAAATCTGCCTCGTGGTCCTGAGCCAGAGTTTAAATTGTATTTTACCTGCTCAGGCCTCAATGGTCTCTTTTGGTCTGTTCCATCAGTTAGAAATTTAGAATGGTTGCATAAACAAAAATAAAACTGTTAAGTTATCTCTGATAATGCAGTCTGGTTTTGTAATGCTGAAGCAACGGCAGGAGAGAGGATAATTTTCTGCTGGGAGGCCTTTCTGTAAGGAAAGGATCATGTAAGGAAATCTGCATTTCCTATGAGCATCCTGCCAGGGCTCAGGACTCTGCTGGGTGCTGTGGAGCTGTCGTGCCTGCCAGCAGCCCCAGTTGTCCGTCAGGGGTGTGCTGGGGGCAGCTGCAGGTCTGTGAGCCCCTGCTCCCTGTGCCCAGGCTTTATCCCAGCAGGGCTTCCTCTGGTTGCCAAGGTGGATGTGGGTGCTGTTTGGCCCCGGGCCAGGATTCCTCGGGTGCTGCTCGAGCCTGATCAGAGCATCGATAATCCCACAGAGGCAAGGATTTGCCTTCAGAGCTCCTCCAAACCTTTAGAGGGGCTTCCACAGGGGGCTGGATCTGGGTGAGCTTTAAGGTCCCTTCCAGCCCAAGCTGTCCCCAGATGTGCTCCCTGGCTGCAAAAAAGCCTTCTAAGAATCTGTCCTAGGCACCAGTTTTTGTTCCTCTCTGTGTGTTCCTTGTTTTCTGTTATAAATCAGGTGACTTTTAGTGCTGGGGACCCTCCTGAGCAGGTTTTATGAATTGAGCTCTGCTCTGACATGCTGAGCCAGGCTTGGGTTAGAGGGTTTTTCCTTGGGTTTTTAAGAACATCTTTGGTGTTTACCTTAAGGGAGCCTACAAGAAAGATGGAGAGAGGCTGTTTACAAGGGCCTGGAGTGACAGGACTGGGGGGAATGGCTTCCCACTGGCAGAGAGGAGGTTTAGGTTGGTTGTTAGGAAGAGATTCTTCCTTGTGAGGGTGGGGAGGCCCTGGCACAGGTTGCCCAGAGAAACTGTGGCTGCCCCATCCCTGGAAGTGTCCAAGGCCAGGTTAGATGGGCTTGGAGCAACCTGGGATTAGTGGAAGGTGTCCCTGCCCGTGGCAGGGGGTGGAACTGGACGATCCTTAAGGTCCCTTCCAACCCAAACCATTCTGTGATTCCATGATGTGTACATTCCTGAGGCTGGAATGGCAGAGTAGAATGGTTTCTTCAGCACAAAGAAGTTTCTCCTCTAGAATTTGTGGGCAGCTGAGCAGGGCAGAGCTGCTGTCTGGAGGCACTGAGGAACAGCAGGAGGAGGCCCCGCAGAGCTGCTGCCTTGACAAAGGGGTTTGAGACTTTGCCCACTCTGTTTTTGCAGTGGTTAAATGCCTTGGAGGAAGGAGCCTGCCCCTCGCTCGCCCTGAGCTCTGCAGATCGAAGCTGCTTGGAGTATTTTTGGTTTGTGTGTTTATTTCCATGAGTTTGACACAGGACTCAGGCATGAGGTGGGGTGAGTCACCGAGAGCTGGGCAGCAGCACCGGCCCCAGAGCGTCGCTGGTTTATTTGTGTTTTACTGGGCTTTGAGTCACAGCTTTGAAGCCAGTGACACAGACTTTCACAACACACAATCTGGCAGTTCAGTGTCTTCTGGAAAGCAGGATCTTCTGAGTGGGCAGTAATGGCAGAATTGACTTACAGCACACTCGGGTTTTTTAAGTTAATTTGTCCAAGGGAATGTGTGTCCAGTGACAGCAAAACAGCTGAATTTCTAAAAATTATGCCTGAACAGTGTGTAGACCTGCACTTCTTATTCATTTATTCGTCACTTAATCCCCAGCTGCCAAAATCTGAGCCTTCCAGGCTGAGCTGGGTGAGGGGTACACAGGGCAGGCCAGACTGAAATAACCTTTTAAGCGTTATCTTTATTTGGGCAGTTTTGTTAGTCTTTCCCACAGATAGGAACTAAATATAAACCAACTGTGGTGTGTATGTCTTTGGAATATTAAAATGAGCTATTGAGTCCTTTATGCCACTCAAATGTTTAGTAGTAGCTGCTTTTTGCATATGCTTATTATATTCTGCAGTGTAGCTGGAGTGAATTGTAGAGCTGCTTGTACTCATGTGAGAGTATTAAAACGAAGGGAAAGTTGAAGAGAGCAGATGCTTGGAACAAGTTTTGCATAAGCAGAGTCTGTGAGCGGGTTTTAAATGATGCTTCTTGGTTTCTGTTTTGTTTTATCTCGTGGCTCCACGCCAGCCTCACTCAGAATTTTTCGGGAGGTTTCTGGGTAGAGCCAGACAAATGTTACAGGGGAACTTGGCTCTGATGTTCACCTGTTCTCAGGACACGGTTTCCTTCAAGACAATGCATGTTCTTTTTCCAGGAATTATGGAGATTAATCAGAAGGCAAATAAAAAACATTTTTCCTAGCACTTGACATTTTAACTCTGCTATGAAAAGGAGTGGGCTGGAGTCGCCTGCGTCACCGAGTGGGAGGAGAGGGGAGAACTTTGCACTAACTCACTGGAGTGCTCTGTAAATCAGGGCATTTGTACCATGAGCAACTTCTTATAATTCAGGCTACAAAGGGTTTTGGGCTTGTTGTTGCTTCTTGACTGGGAAGAGGTATTTTAAAGTGGAAATACCAGTGGAAATTCTTGGAAATGGACTATGTTTACTACTGTGTTTGGCTTGTAAGGCATGAGTAATGCAGATCTGGAGTGCAGGATTCTCATCTGAGTGGTGCAAAGTAAATTAAATAGATGAGAGTGGACCAGATTACTGGGCAGGTGTTTTTAGCTGACTTTGAAAATACCCATCTCACTGCAGATTTGGATGTTTCTCTGAGCAGCTCTGAGTATTCTCTAGTCTATGAGTAATCAAGAGTTTTACAATCCTGTGTCTTAATCTGAGTCTTTACTCTTCTGGCAAATTGGCTTTGTGGGGGCAGTTAGACAGGAGGTAATGGTCTTACTCTTCATCCATTTTCAGCCAGCAAAGTTCAAGAATAATCTGTCTTCTGAGACTAAGCTGATAATGGCACTGAAATGAAGAGTTTGTCACAAACCCTGTGCATCAGTCCGGAACTACTAATGCATTTTTGTACTCTGCAGCCACTTTGTTATTACCAGGGTGTTCAGGACAGGCTGGTAAAACTTTCTCTGATATTTTTACAGGGTGGTTTTGTTGGTTTGGTTTTGGTTTTGCTCGGTTGATTTTCGTTCAGGAAATCTCCTCACCAGAATCTCCTGATTTTGTTCGTGCTAATCCCAGAAGCTCATCAGTAGGAGAACAGCCTAGATGTGGGTGGAGGCTTCAGAATTAAAAATGGGCAAATGTTTGTTTGGACTGTGGCGGGCAGCAGGCTGCTGATGTGTGCTCTTGGGGACGGCTGATGTCCCGTTTTCCCACCCGGTTGTCCTGGGAGCTGGGTCAGGGGATTGCCTGTTGTGCCTCTCTCCTAATCTGTGGGGTTTTTCCTTCCGCAGGACCCGTCGGGGCACAGCCCCTGCTCATGGTGCCCAGACGGCCCGGCTATGGCACCATGGGCAAGCCCATTAAACTGCTGGCCAACTGCTTCCAAGTTGAAATCCCAAAGATTGATGTCTACCTCTATGAGGTGGACATCAAACCAGATAAGTGTCCTCGGAGGGTGAACAGGTGAGAAGATGAAGTTCATCTTGTGCATTGTGCCAGTGTGAATGTTCAGTACCATCAGGAACTGTGAAAGGGAGAGTTCCTTTCCCCACGTCCCAGCTGGGAGGTGAAAGTGCTGCTGCTCGTGCAGCTTGAAGAGGAAGTCAATATTTGTCATCTTCCTGAAGTGCTTTGGGTTAATATTGCCTGGCCAGGAAATGGTGCCTGGGAGCTGCTGCTGTGCAGGAATTTTGGTTTGCAGGTGCCTAAGGAAAGTGTTTCCATTCTGTAGAATGAGGGAATTGTGTGTCAAGTGAGATATGGCTGTTGTGCCACAGAAACACAAAGGCTCCCCAAAGAATTCAGGTCCTGAGGGCAGGTTTCAGTCAGAGGTCTTGCAAAAGTCTCTCTGGTTCTATTTACTACTTGTGTCAAGAAGCCTTTTTTGTATAAAAATTTTATGGTGTTTTTTCAAGTCTGATTTCAGTGCTTATATCAGGTTAATCTTTATTGCCATCAACTTATAATAAAGCAAGGGAGATGAATCTTTAATTGTGTGCAAATTTGATCAGGCTTTTACTTAATTTTGTGGTAAAAACTCAGGTTATTAAGGACTTAAAGCCAAGACTTTTTTGTTAGGGTACCACATGTTTATAACCAGTGTAGGCAGAATTCAAAATTCTTGTTAATTGAGGAGCAGGTGAACATTGCTGCAGACTGTACAGTGAGCTGGCAGAGCTTCCAGCTGGGAGTTTGTACTGGTTTTTATCACAATACCATCTTGTGGGTTTCTTCCAAGGTAACTGTGTCCTCATTCTCCGTAATAAAGGTGACACAAAGGCCTCAGTCATTTCTAGGAGTTTCTGAAGTTATTTCAGTTCCAATATTTCCCAATATTTGAGCATTTGCTTTGATTCTGATTTTATTATTTAGTGTTTATTTATTATTTTAGTTGAAGCCTGTGAAGCACCTTTTGGAATACCCAGTGGGTGTTTATAAATCACTGAGTGCTGTTTATTGAAATTACTTCAGCAAAATATGGGGTTGGGAGCCAACTCCAGTCTGATCCTTCTTTGGAAACATCCTCAGTGTAAAAATATCCCCTTTTCCAGGGATGTGGTGGACTCCATGGTGCAGCATTTTAAAGTGACAATATTTGGGGACCGTAGACCAGTGTATGATGGGAAAAGAAGCCTCTATACAGCCAATCCACTTCCTGTGGCCACTACTGGGGTAAGATAACTGTTGTATTGGTGGCAGCTTCGTGGGAAGGAAAAGAAACGACTTTTAATATTGCTGAGTTCAGAAAAACTGGAAGTGTCTTACAGTAGCTGTGCTGAAACAGAGTCCTTGTGATGTATTTCCTGCAAGTTCCAGTGTGTGTAAATGTGCAGGTAATAGTTTAGAGGTAACAGAACCTCCCCTAGGATTTAGCAGCCACTTTGTACAGCAAAATCTGTTAAACACTCGGTTTTGCAGACTGTAAAACATGCTCTTAGGATGAATTAAAAAATCAAACCATGTTTTTTCTGGAATGAAGAATTTCTGATTTGAGATGACAGCAAGTTACAAGATTCTCTTCTGTTTGGTCAGGGCCCAGTTCTCTTCACTCTGTGCATTTTATAATGTATTTTATCAAATGTGCTGTGTCCTCCATATCTGAGTTTGAGTCTCTGGCCCAGTTATGGGGGGGAGTGGAAACTCAAGGCTACCAGACTCCAGGTTAAACAGCTGGTTTTCATTTCTCTCTTCCCTCCCCTGCCCAGGTGGATTTGGATGTGACACTACCGGGAGAAGGTGGAAAAGACCGTCCCTTCAAAGTGTCAATAAAGTTTGTTTCTCGGGTGAGCTGGCACTTGCTGCATGAAGTTTTGACAGGAAGAACCTTGCCTGAGCCTCTGGAACTAGACAAACCTATCAGCACTAACCCTGTTCATGCTGTCGATGTGGTGCTACGACACCTCCCCTCCATGAAGTAGGTTCACTGTCTTCCTGCAGTCTGTCTTTACCTGAAGTATCCCCACTGGGACACCTTCATCCCTGTTTCTTCACAGGTGAAAAGGAGAGCTGCTCATTCCCCTTGTGCAGCACAGCTGGTGAGCTGGCTGGGGAGATTGGAGCCAGTTGTGTACCAGTGTGTTTCTGTGGGCAGAGCAGGTGATGTGTGTTTGAAGAGATGAGGGAACAGGAGGCACTGATAATAGGCCTTAATTGCCATGCTGAGAGGTTCCATGAGCTGGAGCTCTGCTGTCCTGGTTCTGCTCAGCTTGAGCCAAGTGTCTGCACTTGATGGCAGTGGCTGTGGAAAGGCAGGAGGAGTCTCTTCAATCCACTGACACCCATCACCAGTGTGAGTTTCTCAGGGCTGAAATACGTGGCTGGGACTAGATGCACATCCTAACAGTCTCTAAATTTCTGGGTTTTGAGGTAAAAATAACAAATAAGAGAAGTTAATTTTGCTTGATTTGGTCAGTGAGAGTTACTTTTGAAGTTGGCTGGCTTTAGGCACCAGGATGGCTTTGCTCTGGGGGGTTTCACTGGCTGTAACTGGCCCTTAAAAAAAGGGGCTTGTGGTTTTATGGAAGCCAGTGTTCCTCAGCTTCCCTGTTGCTGAAGGAAACATTTAGATGTTAACCTCTGTACTAATGCCTGTGATTACAAAACTGAGGAGGTGGGGAGGTTCAGGAGCAGCTGTTTCCTGCCAGAGAAAGAAGCAGTAGTTCCTCTAGTTCTTTTTTTCCCCCACAGCTTTTGCTTCTGTTGGTGCATCCTGTATTAAAAAGTTCCTTAGTGAAACAGGCAAAATGGTGTTGGAGGATCAGGGCAGTATAGACAGGGCTGTTGTACAGACTCTGCTGTGATGGAGACTTTACCTTCTTGAGGTAGAAAATCAGGAAGGGTAAGTTCATTTAGTTCTTGATTTGTTGTAAAAACTGAAAGTGGTTGTGCATTTCTAAAAATAGTAAATGTTTTGTCTGAATTTGAAAGCACTGTGATGGGAACAGGAGCACTCAGGGTATATTGTTTAAACTTGCTTCTTGGCGCAGATTCCTGGTGCACAAAATTCCAAAAAATAATAGTGCTGTGTGTTATAATCTTGACTGCATAAATTTTATGTTTGGGAGGCAAGAGCAAAAACGTGTGGCCACCTGTTTCACCAGGTACACCCCTGTGGGCCGCTCCTTCTTCTCAGCTCCAGAAGGCTATGACCACCCCCTGGGAGGGGGCAGGGAGGTCTGGTTTGGATTCCATCAGTCAGTCCGACCTGCCATGTGGAAGATGATGCTCAACATCGATGGTAAGTTGAGATTCAGGGCAGAGATTCTGACCAGACCTGTATGGCAAAGGCTGCCTAGAAATCCTAGTCTTTTTTTTCCTCTGGATTTGTCATGTCGGTGTTTGAGCCGAAATTTAACTGCCATATAAAAACCAATATTCCTGTATAGGAAGGAATTGCACATGGCTTGTTTTCCTGCTGAATGTCTGTATTGGTCCATCCCCAGTGACAGGGGCAGGTTGTCTCTGTGCAGCTGTACACAGAGAGCAGCACTCAGTATTTCTAAGAAAACTCTGTAAAACATATCCCAAACACTTCTGTGAATAGGGCTGATTGGGTTGGGCTTTCTTATGCAAAAGCAGATCTGCTCTGCACCACTGTATTGAGTCCCAGATGAATGGATCTGAGAGCAACTGGTGCCTGTGTGAGACTGAGCACTTGAGTCTGTTTAGTTGTTAAACCCCCATTGAAAAGTGCCAGTGGTGGAGGTGCAGGTGCTGCCTGAATTTTCCTCTGATTCACATTCAGTTCTCACTGTCTGAAATGCTCTATAAACCCAAGGTAAATAGTCTGTCTTGCTCCAGGTTAGACAGTCAGGTTGTGTTTCACACCTGTCTTGGAGCAGAATAAAATATCAGAGATACTGAGCTTTCACACTGAAAATTTGCAAGTCTGCGTGTTCTGGGTTACCTAAATTGTGGGTGATACTCATGTGGCTTCAGATGGGTTTGCTCTTGTAAAATTGCCTTTCTAGCATCAGCTGTGGTTTGAAAAACAAATGTCAAAATCTTACCTGTCTCAGAAATAACCAGTGCTGGTCTCTCTCTGTGCAAGGTACTGAGAGAGCTGCAGTTCAGGCAGGAGAAGGGCATGAATTCATACCAATTGATGATGTACTGTGCTGTGAAGCAAGTTTTTCTTACCAGCAGTAGCCAGTGAAGTAGCAACTCTTGGAGTAGAAATCTTTCAGTCCTTCCTGTGAGTGGGAAACCCGAGCCCTTTGTGAGCAGCGGCTCACGGAGCCATCACTCTGGGTCGTGGTCTGAGGCTGTGAAACTGCCTCCAAATCCCATCACTGGAGGTGTTTTTGGTTGTTTCATTTGTACAGGGTTCTCTGTGAAAGTGTTGCTGTGGGAGACAACCCACAGGCTACCAGGGAGGGGAGTGTGAGGGTTTGGGGTCACTCAGTAATTGGTGGTGGTGCGTCACGGGGAGTTGGCAGCCGGCTCAAGTGACACACGGCTGAGGAATGTTGGGTTGTGTGAGCACAGATGTGGCAGGTTTGGTACATGAGATCTGGAAAACTGATAAATGCTTGTCGAGTATGTCTTTTCTGTTGTTGCCAATTGAAGTTTTCAGTGTGTGGAGCAGGATGGGACTGAGCTCTATCTGGTGCCACCTCACTCTTCCCTACTAAAGGTGTTGTTCCAGTTTCTTGTAACTTTGTCAGGTAGATGATTTATGATCTTCCATGGAATGAATTAACTGTCCTGCTTAAAAGCAGCGTGCTGTCAAAGTGATGGTGTCATTAGCATGTGGGGAGGGTCAGAGATTGGAGAGGATCAAGGATTGCACTCCCCACTACACCAACACAATTTGTGTGTAGTCAAAGTAGTGCTCGTGTCTCTACCAAATACTGGTTCAGTAATTGAGTAGATTGTATAACTGACAAAATTATTTTGCATGTTGAATAATGTTAGCTTTTAATATAAAAAAGTGCAGTAGAGAGATATTAATCCTGCATCTGCAGCTCTATACAGAGGTGAAGGAGAATGTCTCTCTGGGGCGTTGCAGCTCTCTAGAAATAAATGTTCCCTGGGGAAAAACCCTTCAAACCTCTGAAATGCAAAGCAGTAGCAGGATGACTGTACTGCAGACTGATGTGTCACCATGGGCCCTCCACTGGCATTTGGATGCTTCACTGTGGCAGGGTTTGCTGACCTGTTTTTAAACAAGCATTTTTCTTGAGGTTTGCGTGGAATTCTAAGAAGCCTTCATTTAATGTGCTGCTTCACAACACTCTGACTGGGTTGGGTTTTTTTTTACACTTAATATTTTGCTCTTTGTAGTTTCTGCCACTGCCTTCTACAAAGCACAACCCGTAATTCAGTTCATGTGTGAAGTCCTTGACATTCATAATATTGATGAACAACCAAGACCTCTGACTGATTCTCATCGGGTAAAATTCACCAAAGAGATAAAGGGTGAGTAGAAGTGGATCTGTTTGGTCCCAGGTAACACAATCAAAGTAATCCTAAGGGATTTGTTTTAACTGGAAGCCTGGCTAGCATGCATCAGAAGGGCCTGGAACTGCCAAGGGAATGGCAGTATCCATGTTTGTAGTTCTAATCCGGAATGGAACAATGCGGCGCTGCGGAAATGAAAGCTGAAAACCATTCCCAGTGGCTTAGAGGGAAAGAGAGGGCATGTTGTTCATTGCCTGGGCAGAGGTAGGTGGCTGGTGCCAACCCCTCCTGAGCCAGGGTCCCTGAGGCCACCTGGCATTGTGTGTGGGCTCCTGCTGTTCCAGTCCTGTGGCAAAGTGAACGTTGATGTCGAGGCTAACACTGATTCTTTGAAAGAATGCTGTTGCAGTGGCTTCTAATAACTGATGGCCTTGTGGAAAAACAAGTACCACTTGCAGCTGAAGGCCAAATTCCATTCCAAAGGAATTGCATAAGCTGCTGGTTTGAGTGGTTTCACTCCATATATGCTACTTGGGCCTGCATTTTCCCATATCCTTCATTCCAGTGTAACTTGCAGAGAGAGAAGCCTTGAAGGAGCTCAGCTCTTAAACACTGATGCAAGATTAGACTCTACTGAAATACTGGGCAGCTAAAAAGTAAATTTGAACTGTAGTCATAAAGGGATGTGTTCATGGCATAGTCATTAGTGAAAAAAACCTTAAAGGAATTGTTTTGTAGTAGTCCTAACATGCCTCCTTTTACATTTATCTGTCTTTGTCCTGGAGGATGGGTAACTGGAGAGCGAGGAGCTGCCTCTGCTTGATCTCAGGTGCCTCAGAAACTCTGTTACCATAGTCAGAAAATACTGAAATACTACCTTTACTCTGAAACTTGTCTTTGCTGCTGTAGGATCTGGGAAATCCATCCAGGCTGTGACCACATAGAGCAAAACAAACCCTGCATTAGAGCACTGGCAGTGTGTGAGCAGCACTGTGGGAGGGCAGTGCCTTGGTAGTGTCACAGCAGAGAAATGGCAGAGCAGAGCTGGGTTCCAGATATGTGTTCACAGCCCTTTTCTGTGGTCACAGTGCCCCGTGGTTTCTTTTCTTTGTTTTCTCTTAATGCTCTGTCAGGGCAGTGGTGGTTTATTTTTGACTGTACCGTCCTCTGAGTAATACTGATGTTATTGATGCAATTAGTGTTGTCAGGGAGCAAAGAAGTACAGCTGGTGCTTCTTTGGGATGTCTCTGTCCCCAGTAAACCAAGCTCAGTCTGCTGTCTGGTACATGGGGACCTGATTTTGGAGCTGCCACTGTCGTGGTGATCATGGGTAGAGATAAGTCAGGAGAGGCTCTGCTCTGGAGGCTGAGTGCTTTGAGATGGGATGCTCAAAATCTAAAGTTAAACCTGGACAGTGGAATTAAAGAAAGTTACAGGCTGAATGTGACCATAAAGCTGAGGGGGGGGGAGGAAGACAATAAAGTAGAAATATGGGTTTGCCCTCTTAATTTCAATTACATTGGAACTGGTAGTTTGAAGAGGGTGTACAAGACTGGGAATGAGAACAAGAGGATATGGTGAAAACAGGCCTCTGAGTTCAGTCAGTGCTGCAGGAAATTCAGAAGACACTGAACATTAAGTGTTATACATCATAATTTGTTTTTGAGGGTAGTAATCAGGATTAGTCAGAATTCAAATTAAAATGAAAACAAAAATGTTTAGAGAATAATAATTCCTTATGTTTGTGCTATTCGATGCTGACCCCAAAGCTGTTGTGTTCTGTCATTTGAAACCCTGTGTCTCCTGTGCACATTTTTGGGTAGTTATGACACCAGGTTTTGATGCTTTCCTGCAGGTCTGAAGGTAGAAGTGACTCACTGTGGGACGATGAGAAGGAAGTACCGTGTCTGCAACGTCACGAGGCGACCTGCAAGTCATCAAACGTAAGAGGCTTTTTGTCAAAGCGTGGAGTGTGTGAGAGCTTCACACTGAGTGTGCAACAGGACCTGATGGTTCAGTAATTTTGGAGATGATGGTATTTGGCAACTCAGATTTTACTCAAGTGTCTGTCTTTTCAGCTTTCCTTTGCAGCTGGAAAATGGCCAGACTGTGGAGAGGACAGTAGCACAGTATTTCAGAGAGAAATACAACCTCCAGCTGAAATACCCTCACCTTCCTTGTCTGCAAGTGGGACAAGAACAAAAACACACCTACCTGCCTTTAGAAGTAAGGGCCTTACTCTGATAAATCAGAAGGGTTTGGGGTAGGTTCTGTCAGTTTGCAAAAAGTTAAGAATCAGTGCTCTTTGCAGCATGAGCTTGTTTGCAGATTTACATGTTCATTACTTTAATTTCACTAGAGACTGTCTGTATCTTAAAGTGCTTTAAGGTTTAGAGCTACAAGGAAGTCTGAGCATGCAGTTGCTTGGACACACTGGGGTTGTGGTTTATGGTGACAGCATGGTGTTGTGTGTGTGGTGTGGTGGGGTTTGAGTGCTCCTGTTGTGGATTAATGCCTCTGGCTCTCCCCTGCAGGTGTGTAACATCGTGGCTGGCCAGAGGTGCATCAAGAAGCTCACGGACAATCAGACCTCGACCATGATAAAAGCCACAGCCAGGTCTGCCCCAGACAGGCAGGAGGAAATCAGCAGATTGGTGAGTCCCTGAGCCCAGCTGGGGGTGACACTGGGCTAGATTCCATCAATGCAAAACTTCTTATACACCCACCTAGGCTTTTCATTCCTTCTTGTCCTTTAACTTAACAGATTGTAACTACTTTCTTAATAGGACTTATTTACAATAGCCTTCAACAATAGCTTGAGTCTGTAGTACAGGCTCTTGCATTATCACCTCTACAATTGATTCCAAGCTGGTGTTTTATTTACTGTGAGGAAACAAAATGCTTTTGAATAGGCAAACTACAAGTGAGCACTTCAGTAACAAGTGGGAACAAAAAAACATGTCATCCAAGATAACTCCTGGTAGTAATTGTTTTTACTGGGGATTGTGTTGAGCAGTTAAATCTGAGGCTTTTCCAGCGAAATTGTTGTAGAACACTTCTGCAGTGTTCCTGTTAGTCTGTTGTTTGTTATATGAATTATAATCAGACACTTCTGTAACCTCTTCTTCTAGGTGAGAAGTGCAAATTACGATGCAGATCCATTTGTCCAGGAGTTCCAGTTCAAGGTGCGGGATGAGATGGCCCATGTGACGGGCCGTGTGCTCCCAGCCCCGATGCTGCAGTACGGGGGACGGGTGAGGCTTTGGCTTTTCCTTTGCTTTCCATTCTGAGGAGGGATTTCCTGTGCACCTTGACTAAACAGGGATAAGAGTTTGAATGATAAATTGGTTTTTTGTTATCCTGAAACTGCAGGTAGCACAGGCAGCTTCTTCTGCAGCCACTTGAGTGTCTGTTGCTTTTGTTTCCCCAGAATCGAACTGTGGCAACCCCAAGCCATGGAGTGTGGGACATGAGAGGGAAGCAGTTCCACACTGGTGTGGAGATCAAGATGTGGGCTATAGCTTGCTTTGCAACACAGAGACAATGCAGAGAAGAAATATTGAAGTAAGGCATGTCGTGGTTCAGGCTTTGGACTGTTCTCTTAATGAAGTGAAACACGAGTACAGGATTTCTAATTAGCATTTACCTGGGTTAATCATCTGAGGTGTTATAGAGAGAATCCAGGCTGGTTTCCTTCCTTGCTGGAAGCTATAGTCAAAACACTGTGCCTGGGAGCCTTCTGGGGTGTTGGTCCTGTCCCTTCTGGTATCTTGAATGAAATACTTAAGGTGTCTAAATGTTTTGGGGTTTTCCCCCTCGTTCTGGCCTGTGGTGTTTCACAGCTGCACAGCCTCCACATAGTGAATGTTTTCTTAAAAAGCTATTTGGAATTGTTGTCATTTGACTACCACAGTTCTTTGGTCCCCCTCTGCTTTGGTTGTTGTGTGCTGTTGCTACTGCAAAAACCCAAAACTGTGCTGCTCTTCAGGGGTTTCACAGACCAGCTGCGCAAGATCTCCAAGGACGCCGGGATGCCCATCCAGGGCCAGCCCTGCTTCTGCAAGTATGCCCAGGGTGCAGACAGTGTGGAGCCCATGTTCCGACACCTCAAGAACACCTATTCGGGCCTGCAGCTCATCATTGTCATCCTGCCAGGGAAGACACCTGTGTATGGTAAGGGCACACCTCTGTCTCTGCCGGGTTGGTCGGGTATCGTTGGGAGAAATTTGCTGCCCAGCGTACGCTAGGAAATTATTTAGGGCCGTTCTTTAGGCATTAGAAACCATGGTTTGTGTCTGAAGGTAAACTGGAAGCAGGTCTGAGCATGCAGGTAAGTCGAAAGTTACTGCAGAGTATGTGCACTGAAATTGTTGTGACTTAATCTAAGGTCAGAATGCAGCAGTAACCTCAGATGGACTCAGGTTGTCTCCTCCTGTTTGCTTCCCAGCGGAGGTGAAGCGCGTGGGAGATACGTTGTTGGGAATGGCCACACAGTGTGTTCAGGTCAAGAACGTCATCAAAACATCTCCACAGACCCTCTCAAATCTGTGCCTGAAGATCAATGTTAAACTAGGAGGAATCAACAACATCCTTGTACCTCATCAACGGTAAGACTCTGGAGACTGACTCGGGCTTTCTTTTAACAGGTGTGGTTACTTTTGCTACTTTGCACCCAAAATTTAAATATGGCCAAGTTTTAAGTTGAAACATTCTTCTGGTAATAGTACATGATGTTTGAGGTAGAATTCAGTTCCTTCCAGCACAGGTTCTGAGTGGTTGTTGGCCTGTGAGTTCGGTTTTAAGCCAGGTTTGATGAGTATCAGAGGTGAAATGTGAAGCAGTGGTGTGTGGGAGAGTATTTTAAAGGCCCTGGGAGACCATCCTGCTCTAAGTCCTGTAAGCCAGAGTAGTGTGTGTGCCACTGCTCCCAGCTGCAGGGCTGATGCTGTACCACAGTGGGGCTTGGGTGACCTCCAGGCACTGCTTTGATCACCTGCAGCACGGCAGGCTCTGGAAGCAGCTGGATGTGCCACTGTGGCTGTTCCCCACCAGAATCCCCCCTGGAACTGCTCCATGGCTGTTCCTCACCAGAATCCTGCCCCAGTTCTGGCAGTGTGTTCCCAGTGTGTGCTGGACTCTGTGCTGGGGCAGGTTCCAGGTTCACCTCCTGTGCAGAGCCCCCCTTGCTGAGCCTTGGCCCCGGTACCTGACAGGGCTGAGGCAGAAACAGCCCCGTGAGCGACGACCTTGTGGCAGCTGCTCAGCTACGAGTGTGACTTAGCACTTTTTTCTTTTTGAAGACCTTCTGTGTTCCAGCAGCCAGTGATCTTTTTGGGAGCTGATGTCACTCACCCTCCAGCTGGAGATGGAAAGAAGCCCTCCATCGCTGCTGTGAGTTTTGTTACATTAACGTGTTTTTTCATCTTAGGTAAATGTTAGAATACAAAATACAACTCATGGACTGTGTCTGTGTCAAATACCTGTCAGGGCTTATGCCAGTTCTTTGTACACATTCCCAATGATACTAAAAGTCATGTCTTTAAAAGGAAAAAACAATGTTTGATACTTCTGTCTGGTTTCTTAGCTCTTTAATTTTTAAATCGAGGTAAGATAGCATTGCTAAATAATATATTTCTGCAAAAATGTTCTCACCTTGGCAATGTTAGCTAATAATGTCCTTGTCTTTTTAAAGGAAAAAAAGTGTAACTAAAGGCCTGGTTTGGCAGAAATATTTTTGATACTTCTTACCTTTTGTGTTGGTAGAGTCCAGGAGATGAAGGTGATGGTTGGAGGCTTGGTCAGTCCTCTTCTGTTTTGTCCCCTTGGTATTTTAGATGTCATTGATTGCAGTTATGGAAACTGTGTCCGTGTTTAAAGTGACTGAGGGAAACTGAGGTGTTTGGCCATGTAAAAAGTGAGAAAACTTCACAGGAAAAAGTCTGTCTGGATTATAAGAATGTGCATTAATGAGGTGTGGGACAGAGGGGAAGGCAAGTTCTGTAGATGCATTTCAGGGTGCTTGGGGACAATTTTTGTTACCTCTTCTCAGAAGGTGTTAAACCTGTACCTACTCCAGATTACTCTTGTTTCACATAAGCATCTTTTACTTGAAAATTGCTGCTCTTGGGTTTTTTGCTGTTGATTTCTTTGGATGGATTGGATCTTGAAGCCTTGGCCGCCGTGCTGTGCCCACAGGTTGTAGGCAGCATGGATGCCCACCCCAGCCGGTACTGTGCCACGGTGAGGGTCCAGCGGCCCCGGCAGGAGATCATCCAGGACCTGGCCTCCATGGTCAGGGAGCTGCTCATCCAGTTCTACAAGTCAACACGGTTCAAGCCCACCCGCATCATCTTCTACAGGGACGGGGTCTCTGAGGGACAGTTCCGACAGGTGGGTTCAGCTGGGGGTTTCTTGGAGGGGTTTGTTGCTCCACAGTAACTCCAGGTCTCGTTTTTGTGCTGTTTGAGTTGCTTACCACCAAGAGAGCAGAAAGTAACTGAGACTTTGAGGTCGAGAATTTCTTAATCACATTGGGTAAGAAGAGTTGCTGCTTCTTTCCTGTCTGGGAAGGGGAAGTCCTAGAACTTGGGAAACCACGTATTTCTAGGTGCTTCCTAAGATTACTAAAGCAAAGTTGCACTTGGTGTTGTTAACTACAGCCCCTTTACTAGGTGTTGTGTGTAGAATGCAATGGAAGGAAAACCTGAACTCTTCTGTTCTTGTAGGTTTTGTATTATGAGCTGCTGGCCATTAGAGAAGCCTGCATCAGTCTGGAGAAGGATTACCAGCCTGGGATCACCTACATCGTGGTGCAGAAGCGACACCACACGCGGTTGTTCTGTGCTGACAGAACAGAAAGGGTGAGCACTGCCCTCTCCTAGGAGCCTTGTGGGAAAGCTTCATGTCAAGCTCTTATGCTGCTGGAGGAAATATAGTGTGGGCTTCTCTGTCCATCTGGTTGTCTGTGCACTTAGGGAAGTGTTGGACTGATAAAATGTGGCCCCAAATGGAAAAATCATTGACCTAAGTAGGTTAAAAGACCCCACACATCCCCCTGGAGCTGACGTTCCTGTGAGCAACCAGGACCAGTCCCCAGCAATTGGAACAGCAGAAAGTACAAAATGGTGGAGCCTTTTTTCTGAGTCAGTCAATCCAAGCTGAAGCTGACAATTGGAAATACAAATGTCTGTACAGCTCTTGAGGCTGAGCTGGAAAACTCTGAAGTGCTGTAGGTGCAGTGCTGAGGTGCTGGAGAGCCACCCAGTGTCCTTGTCAAACCTCCCAGGCTGCTCTAGTGGCACATTCCTGAGGCACTTCTTGCACCAAACCCTTGCCAGTGGTGAATAGGAACTTGTGTTTTCCATTAGAGTCGAGCTGTAAGAACAGCTGAGGCTGCACTTACCAAACCTTTTCCCCAGGTCGGACGGAGTGGCAATATTCCAGCGGGGACAACTGTAGACACAGACATTACACACCCCTACGAGTTCGATTTTTACCTCTGTAGCCATGCTGGAATACAGGTACAGTTGCTTCTTTGTAAGTAAACGTGAATTTAGAACGTGTTGTTTTTCTCCGTTTTGCGACGCCTGTTTGCAAACAGTTATTTGGGAGGGAAATGTCATTTTATCTCAGTTTTATATGATATTGCATTATTTTGGGACTGAGTGTTATTTGCTTAAGAGGTGGTGGTATCTTCTGCACCTTTAAACTTGCACTGATGGTAAGTGATGCTTTTTAAAGTTTATTTTAAAGGGGTCACTTTTTTTTGTCCCTTTTTTATTTCTGAAAATAAAACTTGCTACTTGTATCAGGACATTGCTTAAAATGGAAAAAAATTAACTCCTTAATTTTTATCATGTAAGTGTGACAACATTGTAATGAGTTTTGTTTAGGTTGGATGGGCATGATTTCTTTTCCAGTTTTGAGTCATTGCTATGGTTTTTTGTCTGCCCCTAGGTCTGGGCAAGCTGGTTTTTGGCCCTTTGGAAAAAAGAATTGTATCAATATAAGTTGAAGCAGAAATTGCCAGATGTAGTTTCAGCTCATTTTAATTTATATTTTAATACAGCAAGCCACAAAAGGGCCGCAAGTAAATTTATGCTTTCGATACATTTTTTGAAAAGAGAGACTTGTTGCCTGGCTAAAGCACAACTATTGACCTAATTCAGGTGCAGTGTAAGATTTAACTGTAGTTTCTAGTGTTCATACTTGAAATTAGGATGCTCAGGAATTGCAAAGAAGTAAAAGCAGCAGTTATTTCTCTGGGAAATGTGTCTTGGTGAGAAACAGTTTAACTGAAGGTGGGTAAGAAGTGGTGTAATCATGGTTTGGTCGTGTTGGGAGCAGGTGTAGATTATTGAAGGTTATGTAGAAGGCAGGTGGGGTTTTATCCAAGCAAGAATAATTACAGCAGTATAATCAGGTAAATGTTACTTACTCATCTTTAAGTGCTTTTAGGGCTGACATGAGACTGAATGTTCTTCAGCTGCTGTTCCGTGGAGTTCAGACAGGACAGTCTGACCCCTTCTGAACTTGGTGTGACTTGTTTGTCTGGAACCAGGTGAGTGAATGGATGTTCCCCTCTCACAGGGAACCAGCCGGCCCTCCCACTACCATGTGCTGTGGGATGACAACTGTTTCACAGCAGATGAGCTGCAGCTCCTCACGTACCAGCTGTGCCACACCTACGTGCGCTGCACCCGCTCCGTGTCCATCCCAGCCCCAGCCTACTACGCTCACCTGGTGGCATTCCGGGCCAGGTACCACCTCGTGGACAAGGAACACGACAGGTAAGTGACTGTGTGCTCGGGTTTGTGTCCCCTCTGACCTCTGTTCCACTGTCAGGCCTAAAGCCACCTGACTGGGCTAAAAAAAAAACCCACCTGGGTTTGCGTTTAGTTTTTGTTACCTCTGGGACCAGCCTTGAGATCATCACTGCTGACAGCTGCTGCTCTGCATCAGGCCAGGCTGGGTTGGTGGATTCTGTGGAATAACACTCAGATTGAAAGAATCAAGTGTAGTTCACTGAAGTGTTTTGTTATGACTTTGACGTGGTCTGAGGGAATCGAGCAACGCATTTAGTTCTTTGCTTTGGGATCGGCGTTGCCATGAATGAACCAAATGTTAAGTGCTTCCACTTATCTAACTCCGTACGTCAGAAATATTTTATAACCTTCAGGCCATCAATATATTTATAACAGGCTTATTTTTAGATGAACAAGCTGAGCAGCCACGGTGGAGGGATTTGTGAAAAGCCTCGAGGTTGCTGGGTGAATAGAAGAGTTGATTCTCCTCAGTATTCAGTTCTCTTCCTGGTGCTGTGTTGCTCTGCTGAACGTTGGTGAAGGGTCTGGAGAGTCATATGAGGAGGGGCTGAGGGAGCTGGGGGGGCTCAGCCTGGAGAAAAGGAGGCTCAGGGGGGACCTTCTGGCTCTGCAACCCCCGACAGGAGGGGGGAGCCGGGGGGGGGTCGGGCTCTGCTCCCAGGGAACAAGAGACAGGAGAGGGAACGGCCTCCAGCTGTGCCAGGGGAGGGTCAGGTTGGACATCAGGAGGAATTTCTCCATGGAAAGGGCTGTCAGACCTTGGCAGGGGCTACCCAGGGAGGTTTGGAGTCCCCAGCCCTGGAGGTGGCCAGGGAAGGCCTGGCGTGGCACTGAGTGCTCTGGGCTGGGGACAAGGTGGGCATCGGGCACAGTTGGACTCTGATCTTGGAGGTCTTTTCCATCCTCGGTGATCCTGCGATTCTGTCGGGAGAGATGCAAAAGCAGCTTTTTGATCCAAATTAATACAATTTACAGCCCTGCCTGTCTCTCCCTCGTTCCCTGCAGTGCTGAAGGGAGCCACGTGTCAGGACAGAGCAACGGGCGAGACCCCCAGGCCCTGGCGAAGGCTGTACAGATTCACCAAGACACCTTACGCACGATGTACTTCGCTTAAGTCAATGACCCGGGAGACACTCACCGAGAGGAGAACTTGAGAACTTAAGCCACATACAATGTATGTTTCCAGGGGGTTGGTTTAGGGGCTGTGCCTCCCATCGTGCTGGAGCTGACGCTGTGCAGGGGGCGAGAGGCTCACCCTTAAATTGACACGAGGAAGATTGTTTACTTCATCCAGGAACACAGCACTATTATGCAATATGAAACCAGCCAACTGCTTTTTTGGGGCGGGCTCCCGTGGGAAGCGCCGCCGTCATTTTTTTTTTGTTTTTTTTTTTAATTATTATTTCTCGTAGTTTAACCCTCTTCTGCCTTTACCTCAAGTTGCTCGGCAGCACAACTATTGTTGCAAAAAACAAAAAAAAGAAATAGTAATAATAAACTAAAATCTGTTGTGGAATTTAAAAACGAAAGGCAAACCACCTTTTAGGAACAATCACAGTGATTGTTTGGAGGGAGGGAAGTGTGCAAAAAAAAAAGAAAATAATTAAGTTTTTAACCCCCATGCGTTGAGGAATCCTTCTCCCAGTATTGCCATCGAGCATTCGAATGTGAACATATCCGAGTGCATTGGAATGTGCAGCACTAGCTAGGAAACAGAGAGGGGGGAAGAAGTTTTGCACACTAATCCAATAATTTGAACCTAATTTAGCCAACGGCTGCCTTTGTGTCTTTTCTCACAGCTTTGGAGTTCTCAGCTCCAAGAGTTCCCTTTCAAAAGCAATCCAAGAAGCTCGTGGTTCGTGTGCAGGCAGTAGTGACCCAACTCTTCTTGCTCCCTGGGGAATTTACTAAAGCTGCTGTTTCACCTAGTCCGAAAGTTTCAATTTTTCCTATCTGGCAAGTCCAATCTGTTGAAGCTTCACGTGAGATCCAACGTCCCAGGTTTGCTGGGATGACGTACAGTAACCACCAGAACTGAAACTTTAGAGCTAAGGTCTTTTTGGAAAAAAAAAAAGAAACCTGCTAGTTTACTTGCTGCCTCTCACACCTTAATGTGATTCATATGTATGTGTGTTTGAAGTTTAGCTTCCTTTTGTTTCTTTTATATTTATTAGAGTAATAATAATGCTTTAATTTAATTATTACAGAACATGTGGTCAACATCAACTTTTATTTTTTAGAAGTGTAACCATGTTTATTTTTAAAAAAAGAAACTGACAACTTGTTTTGCTATCTTTTAGTGCAATAAGCGTTCTAAAGAAAAACTGTGTCCATTGAGCTGTACTGAAGCAGTGTCTGTACCACGGACCGTGGGAGAATGGACACCTCCAGGATTTTAAAAGGACAAAGTAAAAGCCTTAATTTTGAAAGGAAAGTTTTATAGTCAGAAGGAATCTTGAATTTTCCTTTTTTAAATCAAAAAAAAAAAAAATTACAAAAATGCTTCTAGACTTCTGCAAGCTTTACTTGTCGCTGCAGTCTTTTGATTTAACAAAGGAATTGGCCTTATTTTTGGCTTTGAAATGTGGAGCATATTTGAATTAAATGGAAAGGGTTTTGTATTAAGATCTCAGTTTTTACATGCTTAGTTAAACCTATTTGACATCAGTAAAATGTCTGGAATTAATAAAAGTTTTTAGGCTTTTTTCCTCTTTGATAATGACTTTCCTTTTAAAATTAAGTTATTGGTAACTTCATTTCACTTTGCAAATAAAGAGGGCTGGGATAGTTCTAACATGTTAAATCACTGAAATGTGAATCAAACCGATGAGACTCTTTCATTCCACTTTAAAACCAATGTTTAAGATGTCAGAGACAAGCGTTTATTCAACGAGGGGACTGGGGAGTTTTGCACTTTGTAAACTCGTGAACTGCATTTTTGACTGTTTTTATTTGCACTGGTTCATAGTATATTTACTGCAGATGTTTGTATGGGCATTGCTGTTGATCCCAGCCCTCCTGACCTCCACCTGCTCTCACATGAAAACCAGTGGGTTGGTCTAAGTAGCTTCTCTCCTCTTTTCTCACCAAATCCACTGTTTGCCAATATACTGTATTTTGAGCCTAAAATCTGAGCCCGTTTTGCTTCACCAGGCATGAACCTCCCTTTTTTCTGCCAGAAAACCAAGTACTGTATTTTGTGCATTTGTATATTGTATGGAAATGTCCGTAGTGCTGCTCACAACTGTCCACAAGAGCTTTACTAACAGTTAGTGTAGATACTTATTTTATCTCCCAAAATCAAGGAAAACAATGGAAACAGACTAACCTGGCAAAGTTAAAATTGCACTGAAAACAGTCGTGAGGGTGGGCAGGGCTGGGGGTGCTCGGAGAGGAGGTGGGGGGTGGTTGGGGGGTTCAGCAGATCCCAAGGGATCAGGAACCCCTGGAGCCAGGGCTGTTCCCTCTCAGCACCTTCAGAGAAACCTGGTGCAGGGAGGTGGGTGGGACAGAGTCCTTTGAGCAAGGTGGTTTCTCAATAAGTCTCTCAGATGTTTTTCCCAGTCTGTGACCTGACAGTTTTCTCCTAAAGCCTCCACCGGTGCCGTTTGTAACAGGTCCAGCTTAGGCTTTTTACAGAAATTTGTTTTAAAATAATTTTTTTTTTTTTTAAATTCTCTGTTTTACAAGGAGTTCTTGTGGAGTTCTGGCATTTAGGTGAAAACTCCTTTTTACAAAGCCTTTTGACTCTCCTTTCAAAGCTGCTGGATGCTTCTCATCCCACCCACGCTCGGCAACTCGGATTCGAGAAGCTTTTTTGCTCGCTGCTTTCACCAAAAACTAAAGAACCTTCATTGGCAAAGTGACTTCAGTTGTCAAGGTAACGTTGTACCTGGTTTTCATGTGAAGAGTATTTGGAAGTTTTAATCTCTCTTCTTGGTTTTGCAAATATCTACGTCAAGTGCCGATACTTCTTTGTATTACGATATCAAGTTACTGACGTTGTGAGGGCCACACATTAATGATGCTGTAGCTGCTATATTTATTTAAATGGAGATGGACAATTACTGCACTAAGGAATGAGGAGAAAAGCAAGGAATCAAGGTTAGTTAGATATCTTGGGTTTTTTTTCAAAAGAGAAATAATGGTGTGAAATATCAAGTGTAACAAAGGGTGCTGTCATTTTAACTGAGATTAAATAGCCAGATATTCTTCTTTTGTTTAAAAACATATATATTTTGATGTTTGCAGTTTGGGGGTGGGGGGTCGGGATAAATGGTACCTCATCTGTGGTGGCAGTTTCCAGTATATTTTCAGAGTATATGGATTTCTTTTATTTTTGTACCTGCTCTCCTTTAAAAAGAAAAAAAAAATTCTCAGATTTTATGTGCCGTTTGAGGAAATCTTGAGTGGCACAGCAGATCCCCCCTCTCCTGGTGGGAGCTGGCTGTGGATAGTCCAGAGAGGGACGTGGGCACAGGCTGATGATTCTTCTTGCTTTGCAGACACCGGGTTTATGCCTGTCGGGAAAAGCAGTTCCCGTCTCCTCAGACACTGAGACCTCACTTGTACTTAACAAGTGCCACTAAGTGCTCCCGTGGGGGGAGCAGCCCCAGGGCTGGGCCAGGAGTGGCTGTAGGGTATTGCTGGAATGGTGCTGGCCATGGGGATGGACCCTGGGGTGCCATCAGTGCCCCTCCTCACCTGGGGATGGACCCTGGGGTGCCATCAGTGCCCCTCCTCACCTGGAGCCAGCTGTGCCCAATCCTGCCATCTGACCACTGGTAGATCCACAGTTGGAGGGAACCCTGGAATGTTTTGTGGTCAAGGCATTAAACTTGTGGCATCTGCAGACAGACCGAGTGACTCCCTAAGTCGCCTTTTGTCCTTGGTAGGGATTTCAGCCGTGGTCATTGGACTCAGGATCGCTGTGTCACTGTTCAGTGTGTCATCTGGTTACACGTGTCCAAAAGTTATTTTTATAGGGTTCATTCCGGCATCCTTCTGGAAGTTTGTTTGGCCACAGAAATGGGTTTTCAGGAGTTAAATGGGTTTCTGGAAGCTGTCAGTCAAATTATTTCAAGATGCTCTTGGTCCTCAATGATTTTCACTTATTCATGTATGAATTCTTGTCCTAAAAAATGCTCAACATGAAATACCAGACAGTCATCTGCTGTACAAATTCCAGCTACAAATACTGGTGTTCTACTAGTCTTAAAGTTCACTCTGGTGAAATTCCAAGCTCAAGCTTGAGGCCTTTTGTTTTTCTACACTTTCTTCATATCTTGTCCTGTTCTGATATTTTCCCTGTTTTTTGAACTGAGGGTTTAGAACCTTTCTCGAAGCACTTTTATAACCAAGAAATCACAAGCTCAGATTATGTATGTCAGACCTGTAAATTCAGTTTTCAGAGGAGGTTGTTTCTAAATGGCCATCGTGGTCTCTGGTCAGGCCAGGCTGATGCCCTGTCCCTTTCAGTGCCGTGGGGTTTTGTGGCTGCTACTGGCAGGTTGGTTGGATCTATTGAAAAAATCAAAGGGAAAGATTCCTGTCTTTTTCTACCCAAAGATGGTACTTGAGGTTGATGCTGGGTGTCAGAATATCATTTTTATTTTGGCACATGTTGAAATCCAACTTCACTTAGCCAATTCACTCCTGGTTTTTATACAATATCATGGTTAGAGCTTGAGCTCGTTGATGCTTTCTGCTGGTAGAAGATTTTGTACTTTCTGTAGTTGAGGTATGAGCGAGATGGATACAGGATCCTACATTTTACCTCCCAAGCAGAGTCTTAAGAATCCTGATCTGTGTGACACTAAAACCCAAACTGTTGTCCCTGACTAGGCAAAGGTGCATGTGGAGGGGAAGGAATTGTAAGCGAGAGGTTTGTGAGGGGAAAATATCAAAGCATCGGTTTGGCAGAAAGGAGGGTGCTGGGGAGACTCCATCCATCTCTGCACCCCACGTGCCCTGGCCTTTCAGATCCTGTCTGAGGTACCCCCTCACCTGCCACGGGTCGTTACTGTAGGGTTCTTTTCAAACAAAGCAGTTCCACTGTTTAAAACTTGGAATGACTTTTATTTTTTTTTTAAGCAAGACAGTCCTCAGAAAGTGCCTTTTTAGAAGATGGTGCTGTAGATTTTTATTTTCCAGTTGTACGTGGCTGCAAATTTAAGATAAATTATTGAAAAATGCCAAGTGTTTGATAGTATCTTTTAGGTACTTTCAAGCATCAGCTTCTCTGAGTCAGGACCAAGAATAACCGGGAAGGTGTTTTCCTTTGGAGGGAGAGGCATTGAGGAGCGATCACCAAATTCAGCTGGTAGGCTGGGCTTGGGCTGGGTTTGGTCAATGTGATTTGCCTCTTCATATTGAGGGGGTGTGGGGTTTAGGGTGTGGGAGAAGCTCTAGGGATGTGGTTAGTGTCCAAAGGAATCCATAGCTACTGGAGGATGTCATCTCTTAGGGGTAGAGACATCCCAAAGATCAAGACAAACTGAAAGGTGTCTTAGGAGGATGTCTTAAGGATGGCTTAGGAGATGGTGGGTCCTCACATGGCTTGTGTGTGTCCAGGAGGAATGTCATGGATCACTGGGTCCTTCTGATTCCCAGCTGGGAGTTGGGTGCTCTGGATGGGAGTGGGTTGGGGGGTGGGTGGTGCCATGGAGGGGGTGGGTTCCTGGTGAGTTTGGTGAGCGTTCCTCCAGTCAGGAAAAGCTGTAGACTAGACTATTAAACACTGCACCTCAGTAACCTTGTAATGCTGCATAAAGTAATAATAATAGCAAAGTTGTGCTTTGATGACACTGTAATGTGCTTGCACATGCCTGCAAAAAACACACACTTCCCTTTCCTTTGGTCTGAGTAGCAGTTATGGGACTTTTCTTTTATGATGAGCCTCGTCCTTTCTTGTGATATTTCTGTATATTTATTGGTGGTCTGTGTGCAGCTCATAGGTCTGTGTGTCTGCTCTGTGTGTTGCTTTTAACACTTTATTTTTAGGCGGGAGAAGTTTCTGAATGTTTTGGTTTTCTTCTCCGAATTCAGCTTAACCAGTCGTGTTTGAGAGGAGCCAATAAACCCACTCACCATAGACAGAGGCTTCATTGGTACCTTGTTTCTTTACAACTAAAATGATTTTGTGCATTTTATTACTGTTTATAACATTGGGCATTTAAGATGTGGAATAACTCGACATCAGTCAGGGTAGGTTTGAATATCAGGAGCTTAAGCGCAGAACTCGCTGAGTAATTCCAAGTGGTATCTTTGCAGGAATGTGTACATGTCCAGGCTTTTTCTGGGAGCAAGCAGAGCTTCTGGACATCCTCAATGAAATACGTAGGGCCCAGAGTGCCAGCGTGGGGCAGTGCCCCTGCTGAGTGCTCACACCTCCTTGTGAGGGGACGCTGCCCGAGGACCGTGCGGTGCAGCCCCTGCTCCGCTCCCCAGGCACAAGTTGACTCTTTTTGCTCTGTGATTTCTTCTGATTCAACTTGGAGACCTGAGTCTCTTGTAGTTTGTTACCAACTTTCTTGTCTTATTACAGTGCCCAATGCCACTGTGTTGGTATTTAAGCTTGCCATGATGTTCAATTGTTTTATATTCCCAATTTCTTAGTGTTACTAGAGTAGGGTTTAGAAAGCATTTTTCAGTCTAAGTTCTGAGCCAAAACTGTGTCTCCTGTCCTTTTTAGTAGTAGCTGTTTTTATCTTTTAGACTAAAAAGGGCCAAAAATCTTGTACCATCAGCTTGTTTGCAGCAATATTCTCCATCTCCTCCCTCACCTGTGAACTGGTTTGTTTCTCTCTACATTTAGCTAATACTGGAGCTGTTGAGATTTAGAAGGAAGTTGCTGCCTTTTCTTTATATCAAAAGAAATGACAGAAGAACCTGACAAAGCAGGTTTCTGTTGGACATAAATCTCTTGCCTTGGTGTCAATGAGCTGCTGCACACGAGGTTTAATTCCAGCAGAAATGTTTCTGTTTCAGTCATTTGAGGGTGTATGATGATGTAAAGTATCCAAATTAAATAGGAGCTAATAAACCACTGAAAAGAGACACTACTAAAATACTTCAAATTAAAAAAAAAAAACAACCAAACAAAAGGTCCTTTCCAACCCAAACTGTTTTCTGATTCTGTGATCACCTGAGGAGAAAAGCATTTTCCTGTGTATTTTAACGGTGCCTGTTCTCCTCCAGGACTGTGCTGTGAGCAGGTGGCAGTGCCTGGAATAGCTGCACCCTGAAATCAAACTGTGGTTTATCCACACCTTGGAACTCCTTTACTTGGATCAAACCAGGTGCAGGTTTCAGTAGATTGGTGCCACCTGAACCAACAGACCCGAGGGGCTTCTGAGCAATATCTGACCCCTCCAGCCAACACAGAAGCCCTGACAGATTCCTGGTTGCCCTGAGGTGTGTCTGGCTCCCAGGAACAGCAGCAGGCAGGTGTAGAGGTAATTTTGCTGCAGCACTACAGTTGCTCTGCTCCTCCTCAGCTCTTGCCTACCTCCCCTTTCCCTGACCAGGCTCACTCTCCCTCCCCTGCCTGGGTGGAATTAGCCATGTTGAGATGCTGTAGCTGTGTGGAACACAGGCCAGCTCTGGATCTGAGGGTGGGGCTGAGATGGTGACAAGAGCCTGTAGAAGTGAAGGACTGGGTAGGAGGTGGGTGGGTGTTGGTGAGCTGTGATCAGCTCGAGCCCTTCAGGGACATTGATGGGGACGTCAGCCATGAGCTTGGTGGTCCTGAACTGTTTGTGCTGGACTTGAACTCACTGAGAGCAAGCATGTGCCTTTTTCTGACCAGGAACAGAGCTGGAAAAACCTGTGTTTGCATTGGTAGGATGGTTAGTGTTTTTCTGGAACTGTTTTTAAAGCTAGAAGTGCTTGGTCAGAATGGAATTGGTTTTGTGTTTGAATTATTTAATCAAAGCGAGCCCTGAATTATTTGTGAATTAGAACTACCCAGAGAGGAGAAGCTTTTAAAATAAGTGGTTTCTGAAGAACAATGTCATCAAATAAACCTACTTCCTGGTAGACTTGCAATTTTTTTAAGATAAAATTTAACCTTGATGTGTTTATCCAATGAGAATCATTAATTCTGCCTTTCTTTGAATGTTGCCTGTCCAGTGATGTCCTCACTCCTTACTGTGCTCCTGCAGCTTTCCATACACTCCATTGCTTCTCCCCTCTCAGGGATGTGGGGAATATTGTCCAGGGAATGTCGGGGAGCAGTGCAGAGCTCTGATTCAGTGGGAATGTGGAGGTGAGGGTTAAACATCACAGGTAATTCCTCAAGAAGCAGTTTGCCAACAGCAGGGAACAGAATCATGTGGTCGCTTGGGAGAGACAAAGTGGTGTGAGGGGAGGAACAATCCCTCATCCTCTGACACCAGGTACCTGTTTTAGACAGTGTGCTGTGCAGAATTAGACACCTCTGTCCTTAGATGCCAGTTTGAGCTTGCAGCTGCTAAAAAAAGTGGATTTTCAGACCAAAATGGAAGAGTTTTTCCATCAGGTTCTATTTGATGCAGTTTTGAGGTACTGGGGAGTTGTCCAGCCAGGAGCTCCAGTACCAGCTGGCTCTGGAGCGAGTTCCCTCTCTGACCTGGGGGAAGCGACTGCCTCGTATTTCATCTAGAAAATGTTGGTGATGGTTCGTGTCGCCTTGTGAGAGTGAGTTACTGGGTGTTCTGGGGTTGAACTGTGGCAATGGTAACTGCTTGATACAAACCTGTGCACCTCTTGCACGTTTGCATCTGCAGTGAATCTGGTTCTGTTTGGAGCCTGTGCTCTTCCCTTCCCTCCCACCACAGCTCTGCCCGAGGCCGAAGGCACTCGGGGTCGATCCCGTGATGTTTGACGTGTTGCTTTCTTTTCAAATAATCCATTTCTTGTAAAACAGACAGTCAGAGGGCAAGTTTATTTAAATGGAGGGGCTTTTTTCATTGCTGAGAAGTATACAGGTCTTTCAAACACATCTGGCAGTTGAAAAATTAACACCGTAACACTATCTAGCAACACAAATACACAGACTGTGTTGAGTTTAGGGCTATGCTGGCCCATAAATCATAGGTCCACAACCCATTTACATACAGGTGTGCAAAAATTAGCTTTTAAAATAGTTACTAATAAAGTTTCCTTGTGCTTACACTTGCAAATCTCTTGAATATCTTCAAAACTAGTTTCTTTGATAGAAAAATCCGTGTCTTGCTGGTTAGTGTCCGCTCAGACCTAATAGCAAAGTGATGCCCACTGGAGCAGTGGAGAATTTAAAGGACTCTTGGGAGTTTTGGAACCCAATGGAGTGCCAGCAAAGTGGAAACTTGAGTAGTGCTCTTCAGGTAGTGAGGAGAATTGAACACCCACAAAACTCGGTGAGAGGAAGCAACTTTGCAGTGAAGAATGGCTTCTCCTGGGTACTCAGTTTTGCACATCACTCCCCTCCTGTGGCTGTAGTGTTTAGCTTTCTTTGACTTGACTTCTGTTTTGCAGCGAAATCTTCTGATTTTTGCAGTTTTCAGTGTTGAATCTCACCTCGAGACAACTTCCTGTTGTTTTCCTGTAGAAAAAACCTGCTTCTAGCTCGTTGCGTTCGGTGTCTGTTTGCAGGCAGGTGTGAAAAGGGAGCTGCAGCACAGCAGTGGAGCTGGCAGAGCGAGTTTTGGGTTGGAAATGTTGGGTTTACAGGCACTTGTGTGTGGATCAGCATTCCATGGATGCGGTGACGCTTTGGGCTCACAGGGTACAGACCCTCCTGTCTGTTGTTCTTGTCCCTTCCCCTGGTGGGAGCAGTTCAGCTCCTCCAGGTAACCTCGTGGTGGATAAATGGTGCTTGTTGGGGAAAAACTGGGCTGTTTGCCTGGCTGGAGGTGTCTGATCATGGACAAGAACGTTGTCCTTTAAAGCTTTCACAGAAATCAGTAGCATTTGGTATGAGCCAGTCTAGAAAGGATCTTCAGAAGGTGGCTCAGGTGGCATCGTGTGTGCCATACACATCGTTGGCCAGTGAGCTGGGTTAGTTTTGGAAACTGCTGGAAGAAATGTAGCGCGTAGAAATCTTGCGTACTTAAGATCATGTGTTTAAATTGTTAAAAAAAAAAAAAGGAAAGAAAAAAAGAAATCATGCTGTTTGGGATTCCTTTTCCCAATAAAATTCTAATAAACCAGCCCAGGGGATCCATCCCCTCCCATGTGTCTGCTCTCTCTCATATGCTGGTAACTGCTCCCCTGTTTTGGTGTCCCGTTGCTTCGGCAGGAGCGTGAGTGTGTTCCCACCGTGAAGGTCCTGGGGGCTTTCGAAGCAAAAGGGAATTATTTTCAGGAGTAAAGCAGAGCTGTGACTTGAGACGTTGCACAAATAGATTGTAGATGGGTGGCAAACAAACTGGTAAAAGCCTTTATTTTTACTTAACCATCTTGACCATGTGTGCCTCTTTGTACCGCGGGCGTGGGCTGCAGCCGTGCGGGGTGGGAGGGAACGTGTTGGTGTTTGAGATGTACTTGCTAAGCAGAAGCCGTGTCCTCTGCCCCTTCTCCCTTTCCGGAAAAATTGTTCTTGCCAAAATTTTCTACCTGTTGCAAGAGTTGCTTTCTTTCCAGCACAGTAAAATGTCGACTTCTTTCACTGTTCC